CGTCACGCCGAAGACCCGGGTTCGATTCCCCACATGGGTACAATGTGTGAAGCCCATTTCAGGTGTCCCCCGCCGTGATGTTGCTGGAATATTGCTAAAAGCGGCGTAAAACCAAACTCAGTCAGTCAGTCCCTAGTATGGTGATCTACCTTCAGTTGTTGGTTATCTATAACCTGTTTTTTATATTGTACTGTCATCTATAGTTTAAACGTATGATATTGATTTAGAGATGAATAACAGGTAAAAAAAAATTCATGTAGTTTTCTGTTATATATAATGGCCGTTATCTCTAGGCATAGAGGCCGTTTTCTCTAGTAGCGGTGGCCGTTATCTCGTGAGTAGTGGCCGTTTTCTCGAAATATTTTTTGGCCGTTTTCGCTGGGGTCCGTTTTCACTATAACCCAACATGAATATGGAGTTAACACCTTCGAAAGAGCTTCTGGAGAGTGTCACAGATAACGGACGTCACAGCGAACGCGTCCGAGGCGGGAAAACCTCTCGCCACAGTAGCTTTAAAGGAGATGTACATTTCAAAGATCGCGTGATACCCCAAAACAGTCAATTTAATACACACATACAATGTGCACTTGACGGAGATGTGACTTGGAAAGTCATGCACTCATCGGATGTCAGAAAATGCAAAGGTGACGCTCGTCTCTGTAGTTACCTTCTGGGCGACCAACGATCTTTCGAGTAGTTGACCAACAAAAGTTCAACTATGGTACAATAGACAAAATCAATAAGATTTTTAGAAGCAGTATTCATCATTAAAAAAATTGTTTTGGTCTGCGTGTCATTCACCATTGTAACAATTTACAATTTTTCAAAGACAGATGAGCGTTATTTACGTCAACCTTCACTGAACACTGGTATACACTCTAGTTACCAGCATGAGGAATGAGTAATAACCTTGATTAGAAGTCTCAAGAATAACAGCACGTGCTTTGGGGGTTCATGCTCAACATCTTTTGGACACAAACATGTGATCTCGGCGAAAAGCCAGCTCATAGTGATATCAAGATCAATCCGAGGTTTCTTTCCCTTTTTAACAAGAACTGTAGTGAGTGAGTTTAGTTTTAGCAATATTTCAGCAATATCACGGCGGAGGACACCAGAAATGAGCTTCACACATTGTACCCGGGATTCGAACCCGGGTCTTGGGCGTGACGAGCGAACGCTTTCAACACTAGGCTACCCCTGCACCGCCCCTTCAAGAACCGAAGCACGCGTGTGTGTAATCAGAGACCATATCTGGTGTAATATGATTATTAGAGTGAGTGAGTGAGAAAAAATAGGAGACACATTTGCTTTGTTAGCAAAATAGAATAGCCTTAATGTGGATTCGATATATTTTCTTGTACTTTGCAACCGGGAGCTAGAACGCTTTCCGAGTTATTACATATGGTCATCAAATGCGACCAGAAAAGGGATCATAGGTAATGGAAAATGTTAGCTTTTCTTAGATAGTTATATACTTTTCATTCAAATTCAAGATTGATTATAGTCTTGACTAGTAAAGGTAATGGGTATACATAAACAAAGACCGAAATCAAAAGAGTGATGAAATAAATTTCCATAGATATATATTTCATTCAAAGTTTGCATACTTGTTCTGTTTGGGTTCAGCGAAGCCTTTCTTTGAATTTTTTTTTTCTTTGAATACATGAGGTGATTCTTTGTACGGATGATAAATTGAACACTGAACTAATATATGTCTTAACTAAATTATATTCATTTTGACATTTAGTTTTGGTTTAGTTGTACTTATGTTCCAGTTGGAAAATATGAGCCAGTAGCAGTAAAATCTATTCAGAATCACTGTCTCTCCATCACGCTGTCCTGCAAGCGAAGTATACCTGCGTTTTCGTGTGTGAAGTAAGGCTGGTGTTGATGTATCTAATGAAATATGATACCACATTTTTATGTTATTTGGTCAAATCAAAATCAAATATTCTTCACCGTCGTGGTAGAATATAGTTTAACGCAGTAGTCAGTTTTATTCAAACTTGATCATCAAAGTTTGGAAGTCTCCCAGTAGTCTAAAGCTTGTATACAGCCAACCAAAGCTGTCAGCGACAGAAGGAACGACCCACTTCCTTACGGCACTATGGAAACCGGAGGTAATTAAGATTGGTATGACAGACAAATCCGATTACTACAGATTACAAACATAGAATACGCGAGTGTCTTTTCTTTCCAGGAATCACAAAACGATGTTAATGAGAGACAATGAAGTGTATCGTAGTGACTGGAAAGTATTACCATATAAGGAAATAAAGCCCTAAGCAATAAATGGGGCGGTGGGGTAGCCTAAGCTATTAATGGGGCGGTGGGGTAGCCTAAGCAATTAATGGGGCGGTGGGGTAGCCCAGTGGTTAAAGCGTTCGCTCTTCACGCTGAAGACCCGGGGTCGATTCCCCACATGGGTACAATGTGTGAAGCAAATTTCTGGTGTCCCCCGCCGTGATATTGCTGGAATATTGCTAAAAGTGGCGTAAAACCAAACTCACTCACTCACCCTAAGCAATTAACGTGACTTCAATAGAGCCAACCCAAGACATATATATGTGCCAAAACAATATGAAGTGGACATCCTCTCTCCTGGCGGTCCTTGTCCTACTCTTAGTGCCTGTATATGGATAGTCCTATGTTCAATTACATGTAGTATCCTAAACATATTTTATGAAGCATAGGTTCGATTCCCCACATGGGTAAAATCTGTGTAGCACATTTCTGGTGTCCCATGCCGTGATATTGCTGGAATATTGCTAAAAGCGGCGTAAAACCATACTCACTCACTCATGAACGTAACTCCATGTTACAGATGTATCACTTGTAACAAATTTCTTAAAGCAACATAACATTGTTGTACTGTCATAGTCGGCTGTTTTCCCAGATCGTTTCTCAGTAGAACATGTCAGGAAAGGGACGGAACGATGCCGACGACAGGATCAGAAGAAGGTAGTAGAAGGACATCACTTGTGTCTTCAGAGCATTGTATCAAAGGAAATGGTGGCCACACCAGATATTGACATAATTAGTAGTTGTTACACAATGCGATGTTTTCAACAACATATATAGTCATAGAAATGAATACGGGAACACATGAAAGTACAGGTGTTCCTTTATTTATTTCCAGATTGTCACCCACAGTGCCATATAAAGCATACGAAGAAAGAGTATAGGAACACTTGTACTTTCATGTGTTCCCTTATTCGTTTCCATGAGTATATACATACAAGTTTATATTAATTATATTTTTCGCTTTTATATCAACAGCCAGATTATAATGGGGTAAAAGATTTGCCTTTTCCTTCTCCTCCTTTGTTTATCAAAAATAAAATGAGAAAAACATGGGTTTAAGGTGGTGTGATTCTCTCCTAAACTACGTACTGACTTCGTCCTTCGCTTTCCGGTGAGATTCGGTTATGAAGTTAGTATCAGCAACTCATGCTTGTCATAGCTGGAATTTTGCTTAGTTCGGCGTTTAACAACAAACTAGCAAAGAAACAAACAAGAGCTCGCAGATCTGAATGTGAGGTGAGGTGAAATTGGGTTTAACGTCGTACTTGAGAATATTTCGCTCATATGACGACGTGCATGCGTGTGTATGTGTATGTGCGGCTGCTTGTACTAGCCCAGACTGAAGCTGGTTTTATAGCCCACTGAGATACCATGCCGCAGTGAAGCATGAATACCCCACTCAGACACATTATACTGACTCCGAGCCGACCAGTCCTTGTTGTACCCATTAATGCCGAGCGCCAGGCAGGGACCAACAAGTGCCATATTTTAACGTCTTTTGGTATGACGCGGTCGGGGATCGAACCCGCGACCTTCCGCTCTCCGGGCGGACACTCTAACCACTACACCAAGGAGGCGGTCAGATCTGAATGTAGCTTAAAGAAAATGCGTTTGAAAATGATTTTCATTATGTACTTAAATGTTCACTTATTTTAAGGTTCAGACTGGGTTTTCAGCAATCCGTTCTTGTCATAATATTAAGATGGGGTAGTCAGGCTTGCTGACCAATCAGTGATGCTCATGACGTCAATCACTTGATTGTCTGATCAAGACTTGATTATTTACGGACTGCCGTCATGTAGCTGGAATATTGCTGAATATTACCAAACAAACTGTTTAATTCGTAAGACGATAGACGATGGTACTTTTGTAAAAATCACTATTAGTAATCACTAGTTTGTCTGCACAAGTCTCCATAATTAACTCCGAGTGTCGTCATATAGTTGGTATACTGTGAAACAACAAACAAACAAAGCCCAGTGACGACCATTTTAGTATAAGTCTATGAGAACAATATATTTTGAGTGAGTGAGTTTAATTTTACCTAGCACTCAGCAATATTCCAGCTGTATGGCTCGATTATTTACAGACCGCCGCCATATAGCTGGAATATTGCTGAGTACGGCGTTAAATAACCGACCAATCAACCAACCAGTTAGGTATAGAATTGTTATTCGTGATCACCTTTAAAACTGTATATAAATATTGCAAAAGGATTTTCCCCACCTGCACCCCTAGCATACATCTAAGTATCATAACTGACTGAGGATAGTTTTCAAATAAACTAATTAAAATATGATTTTACTTTCGCCTCAGTCCGAAAGCACTTTTAAATGGGACCAAAACATGTGGGCTGGACCAGCAACGTCAACACCCCCATAAACAAAAGATTTCAAAGGGAGATAATCTTTGAGAAGAGGGAATCCTGGAATGGTCAGCAAAAAGATTGGCAGAAGCAGATCGTCCAAGAGTCCAACTATATTAGCAGCAAATCCTGGGCTGATCTGAGGCAAACCTCCCCACGCACAGACTAAGCATGTCACAATACCTTGCGCATAATCAATGCAAATTCTCGCCCAATTTTGGCGTTCAGTCGAGATCAGCCATTCCCCGGCCTCTGCTATTAATCCCAGCAGATAATTGCCTGTCAACGTATAAATGACTCGGCAGAGACAATTCTATCTCTTAGATTTAAATCTCTCACCGGCAGAAGTCTATACAGCTGTGAGCCTTCCGAGAAGTGCAAGCCCTTACACACAAAAACAAGGTAAGACGTTTTCACCCTTTTCATTATTTCCTTGTATGATCTGTTTGATTGGCATTTTTAGAAGTTGAGGAATTATAAGAAAGTATCCAGAAAGTATCACACCTTTCTTATTTCTTGTATGTCAGTTCGTTTCAAGTGCTCAATAGTTTCATGTTTTGATTGAAATCTACTCGTTGATAGCTAATCCATGTACTTATGACGTGCAGGCTTAATTTTAGTCTTGAATATCATATAGTTATTGCTTTGAATGTTTTCAAAATTCCTATATGATACTGATGTTATAATTATTGCGAATCATGATTTATACGAAAGAAGCAATCTTTTTTTTTTAAAATTTAAAAAAATGAAATATGGTTTGAGGACGTTTCTTAAATTTCTTAATTTTGTTACCACGAGAAACAACTGATAAGTACCCTTAACAGTTGGCTAACAAACGCAAACTGTTTAAAGAATGAGGAATTTTTTTTATGGATATACAACTCATATCCATAATAATTGTCCTCATTCTTCATCTCATCAACTTCTAGAATGCCAATCAAAATTTATGTTTTAAGTGGACACCCCTCTTTAAAAAGCTTATCCTAGCTGTCCTACTTTATATCAGTGGCGGGTGAGTGTGCGTTGTTAACTGCCCGACTCAGCAATATTCCACCATCAGTCTTGGTTAAAGAATCCAGTGATCGATATAGCGAGCAATGATCCCCGCCATCAGGGTAGGAATACCCGAGAGCAACAGTCACAAGCCTCAATTAGTCACCTTAAGCGTCAGACCAGTATAGATTTCTGGGGTGTGTCCCCCCCCCCTCCCGAATTGCTCAGGGTGAGCAGGGTAAGTGTTTAAGCGTGACTACCTGATGATAACTGTATTAACTACAATTTTAGTTCTAAATGCATTGTTCATTTGCCGAACTGGTCACATGTTACCAAGAGGTTTTCTTTCTAAAGACGTGGCATTTGATCACCAACTGTTCCTTACCTAATTCTGAAAATCCGCAGCTATACTCCTCTGTCATTTCTTGTTTTGTATTTCCAATAAGTCGGTATGGACGCAAGCAGGCTAAAATTAGCACCACTTGGTACACCTAAGCTATCGTTCACAACATTTGTCCATGCAGAATACTCTCCCTGGAGCAAGTTATTATTATTTCAGATCAGCTTCAGCTTCTAATTCAATGCTATTAGATATGGTTGTAAATATTTCACTGGTTTGTATATTTAATGAGTTACTTTTATATCAATCGGTGAGTTATCCAATTTATACCAAGACATGGTATAGACAGAACTATAATCATGTAATCAAGTGCTCTGAATTCTTACAATAAATGAACCCAAGTGCGTAATCCGCGGATTGAACAGGTTCTTAAATTCCCGCAACAATATGTTTTTATGAACGTCAAGTTGATATCGGGCGTTCAAATCCTCAGCTGAATAAAAATGGGTTGGTGATTGGACGCATCGAAATGTCCAATGCAAATCCCTATTTTGACTTGAACCGTGGGTTTAACTAGCCTATGCATGTGTTTACAAGTGGTATCACAGGTGGGGCATTATACGGTACCGTTTCCTGAACACCTGGTATCACCACTAGTGAGTGAGTGAATTTGGTTTTACGCCGATTTTAGCAATATTCCAGTATTATCACGGCGGGGGACACCAGAAATGACATTGTACCCATGTGCGGAATAGAACCCGGGTTGTCATCGTGAGAGCGGACGCTTTAACCACTAGGCTACCCCACCGCCCTGGGTAATGAAATGAAGCTGATCCAGGAAATATACTAACTCCATGCCTGTCCATGAACGTTATGCTGAACCTACTGCTGCCTGACCGATAGATCGCTATACGGGTAATGCAACTATATAACACCAACCGTTTGAGCATTGACGGTGGTAAATCACCATTGGTTGATAGCATGATAAATGATCGCCACCGTCCGGCCAGATAAATCGTGTTTAGCAACCTAATCCTTGCTGGTCTGTTCAATCGGTCAACCAAGGACTCATTTCCACTGAAATTAGGCTCTGAGATGATATGTAGCCATTTCAAGCCGGGACTAATTTTGACCCTTCGACCTCGATCGCAGATGACCTTCACGTGAAGAAAATATGTTGAATATCCCAGCTTGTGGGTGACAACCATAAACACCATGTCAAGCCGTCTCTCACACTGTCAAAATTCATTCAATGTTTTTTATAAAGTTCAAAGACCGTGTATAGTTCCGTGCTTGCCAGTGAGCACTCTCGAGCAGGTACATGCCCTTGTGCTTTTGTTTCCAGTGTCCCAAAAATATATGCAAGTATTTTGTATGGATATTTATGATAAAACCTCTAAATAAGTAAATAGTGAGTTAGTGAGTTTAGTTTTGCGCCGCACTCAGCAATATTCCAGCTATATGGCGGCGGTCTGTAAGTAATCGAGTCTGGACCAGACAATCCATTGGTCAAAATCATGAGCATCGATCTACGCAATTGGGATACGATGACATGTGTACAACCACCCGATCCCGTTAGTCGCCTCCTACGACAAGCATGGGTTGCTGTTGACCAGTTCTAACACGGATCTAAAATAAGTAAGTTTTCGTATCACAGATTTTGTGAAAAGGTAGGAGATCCACGGTCAACTTTAAAATGACAAACACGGTGTGTAAACAATCACTGATTTTACTTCAACAACCAAATCAACTATCATAGTAGGCAATAGGCATACCGATGTCATCAGGTGTAAAAAAAAGGTGTGGTGACCCCCAGAGTCTTGGATCCGCCACTTTTAAACGAACGCAGAAAACTATCGAATGTTAAGCATGCACACACACACGCACGCACACACAGACACACACACACAGACACACACACATATATATATATATGCATATATATTAATCTGCAGGGTGTTTAGGCAGAAGCCTGTTAACTGTTTAAGGACACGTTGCCTGATTCTACTTTCACAGCCGAGTCTAGTCCGTCGTACATACCCTGAAACACGTATACCCAATGCAGCCCATGCAAGTGTAGAACATGACAAGTCAAGATATCCACATTTTTCTTTTTGAAATTATGTTCATTTCATACACTATATGTAAGTCTAAGCCGAGTCTTCTTTTCTTTTTTGCGGTTACGGAAAAGGGCGAAGATGGCCGATCTCCAGCCAAGATTACATCAGCGGAAATGGCCGGTCGTATTATCGGCATTTTCATTAAGTAGTGATAGGGGTATAAGAGACTTTTCCATCCCCGTGGCAAATCAACTTTCTTATTTTCAGTTTTATAATTTTCTACCTTTTACACCTTGCGTGATAGTCAGCATGTCTTAGCATATCTAGTGGCAATGGCGTATCCTGTTCATGACAAGCTGGTGCGCAGCGCTCATTACGAAAAACCAGTCAATAAAATGTAACCCACTAACTGACGTCACCCTTCTGATTGACGTCACCATTCAATTCCCCTAGTGGTTGGTCCTTCGACATTACAGTAACTGTACAGGTCTATAACACACGTAGGGCCGTGCCGTAATCATTCTATCAACAAATACGTAACTGGAATACGCAATATCAACTTGCGTCCTGCTCTTTCGGACCCAAAATAGCTATGTCTTGGAGAGTGGAGGTAATTGACCGCATGATCTTCCGGTATCCTGTTTCTTTGTTTGTTGTTTAACGCTGCACTCAGCAATGTTCCAGCCTTACGACGACGGTCTATAAATAATCGGGTCTTGTCTTGACAATCCAGTGACCGACACCATGAGCATCGATCTACGCAAGTGGGTTAAGATGACATGCAAAAACCAGGTCAACGAGCCTGACCACCCGAACCTGTAGCGTGGATGAATGATGACTGGAGTTGAAGTCAAGTGATCTCATTTGACGTTGTTCTTCGTCCATCCGTCGTTTCATTTACATTACATAATTTTAAACTGCAAGGTCTTTGTAATATATGGTACTTAACAATCATATTCCGTTTTAGTCATAACCATTCCAACGTTTATATACATCCCTAATCTGATTCCTTCTTAGAGTGCCTGTACCACTTTTGTATAGACCCATCATTGATGTATACAATATGGCTACCCATCAAATAAATTGAAAAAGCCAATCCATGAGTGATCTTTGCGTTCACAAGCCATCTTAGTTTAATGAAGATGGAACAGTCTTGGAACGGACTGGTCACAACCAGGGTGCCTCTGAGAAATTTCATTCTGATCTGTTTTTTAAACATGGTTGTCCAGGCCCCCCATTATTAACGCAGTGTATAGAAATTACACAGCCATGGCATGAATTATCATAGTGTTAATTTTGACTTTGATCTAAGTAAACTATATGATAGGCCTAACAATAATTTAAGGGATGTGATAGTATTGAGGAAAGGAGAGGCTGGTAGTCTGCGATATTTGTTCCAGGTATACCTACAAAAACCAATTTTGTTTCATAAAAATGTGGTCCTAAATTATTTCATTTAGAACAAATTTGGCAATAATACGATTTTTTGTGTGTGGCAGGGAGCTTCTTTTTGAAAAACGTAAATCATACATTTTTTAAGCATCTTCTGGTACAACTTGATATGTTGCTACGTGTTGTCACATTTGTTACTGCTTCAATCTGAACTTTATCAACTGCTGTTGGTGCGAATAGTGTCGTGGTAGTGATTTTGAATATGTAATTTGATCCGCTGCGGAGTATCCATTTTCAAGTGAGTGAGTGAATTTTTTGTTTCGCCGCTTTTAGCAATATTCTAGTTATATCACGGCGGGGGACATAAGATATGGGCTTCACACGTTGTACCCATGTGGGGAATCGAACCCGAGTCTTCGGCGTGACGAGCGAACGCTTTAACCACTAGGCTACCTCACTGCCCTTCAAGTCTTGAAAACATGAAGGTATGACCTATGCCATATGTCGCAATGCGTGAAGTATAGATACAATGATATAATTAAATCGTTTTTGAGCAAGGAACTGGCCAGATACTTACATTTATTACTCACCCGTTGAAGATATCACTGTTTAATAAATCTACAATATCATTACACATCTAAGAAATACAGTTCGTTCTACCACCATGTATAGTGTAATAAAGCACACTTTCGCCCTGAACTATGAACTGAAGCACTGTGCCTCGTGCTTTAACTATAATAGTTCATGGCGAAAGTGTGCTTTATTACACTATACATGGTGGTAGAGCGAACTGTATTTCTTTTCTAAGATGCACATTTAATACTTTCTAAGGATAATTACGATTAGTCTAAGGCAGAAAACCTAAATTAAGAATCCTCGCACAGGGCTAACTGACGCGCTGTTCTATTGTCGTGTCTGTCCCCCTACGTTGAGACGAACGTCACCAGAAAAAAAACCCAAATGATAAACAGTTTGATGACGGTTTACGTTCGGATTAAATATCTTCTCTAAATTATTTTAATTACATCTGTGATTAACGTAAACCATATGGGGGCAATATGAACGTCGCATTTCTACTACCAACGTAAGTTAAGATCAGTACATCCAGATGAAGCTGACTAGTCATGCGACATTCCACAATTGCATTGTGGGCATGTAAACATTGCGAACGTTACCGTGTCGCTGAAAAGTTGTGAGTCGACTTGAGACATTTTATCCGTCGGAAATCATAAACGTAATGTTGCCACCAGTGATGTTAGCTGCGTGAAGCAACTGCAAACCAAGAAACGGAGTGCAACGGAGTAGATGTAGTTTCCTGTAGGAGGCTGACACGCATCGTGACGTCGGTTACATTGTGACGTAATGCAAAAATGTTCGATTACGAGGGGGCAGACTAGAATGGCGCAGTGACTCCAATACATTGTGACGTAATGCAAAAAGTGCACATTATCGTCTGATACAGTACTGTCGGCGTCTTTGATCTTTCACCGAAGCATCTTAGAATGTGTAATAACATCGCGTGATGCCGGACGTATGACGTCGTAATGGTTTTTAGTTATGACGTCACAATGCTAATACCTCTGTCACAATGGTATTAGACCTTGCTTGACTCGCGGAAAGTGTCATCACACTGTAGGCAGTTTCTATCAATTTATATTGGAGAGTAATAAACAGAATACTAAACTCGCTTCCGTGAAATACAATTTGTATTAAACGAGTTAATGATTTGGTATCAAACGAGCGAAATCATTAACTCGTTTAATAAAAATGGTATTACACGGAAGCGAGTTTAGTATCCTCTATGTTTGCTTTGTTTAATGCTAGACAATCTAGTGGTTAACATTACGAGCAACATTTCACGCCGTCGGGGAACGATAACACGCGGTTTACTAGGTGAACTACACCGATACAATGTTTATCACGACTTACGACAATCATAGGTAAATACTGGAGGTCGATTCTGATTGGGAAGAGCTTTAGTGACTGATGTTCTGTTTCAGCCATTTTTATTAGACAAGCGGGATAACTCCCGTTTACGAGCGTTAACACAAAAACATGAAATGATAAACGAAATATGAATAATTTCGTAACAGTTGACTGCGGCGTAAAACACCACTTACGAGCGCAATATAGGAGTTTTGCTGAGAATATCTGAGAAAGAAACGGAACGTGTATGAAGGCATTGTGATTAATATCCTATGTATATATTTCAGCGGTCGCCATGCTGCCAAATTGGCTGTTTCTCTGCGGCGTCGGACTCGTCTGTCTGGGCTGGGTACTTGCCGAAGACAATGAGTTCTCCGACAATCTCCATACATACAACGAGGAAGATTATGACCCTGATGAGGAGTTTGACAAACGAGGCTTCGGCGACAAACGTGGCTTTGGCGATAAACGAGGTTTTGGAGACAAACGCGGATTCGGAGATAAAAGGGGATTTGGAGACAAGCGAGGATTCGGCGACAAAAGGGGTTTTGGAGACAAAAGAGGTTTCGGCGACAAAAGGGGTTTCGGCGACAAGAGGGTTCCTAGTGAATTAAACTCCCGTCTCTTCAGCATGATATTTCGAAGCCTTGGTTACCCGGAAGGTCGCAGGTTGTTAGGCAGGCGTGGCCTGTTTTTATAAACTGGTGTTTCACGAAACCATTGGGCAATTTCATCAGGGGAGACAACTCAGGAACTGTAAACATTAAACTCAATGAAGGTTACTCTATTCGGTCAACATTACAGCTGATGTGTATGCACACTGTGTACAAATGTAAGGGCGAACTTGACGTGTCTACCATGCATGTTTGAAAGACTGGAAGCCGAACGTCACGATGCACAGTTTGGGTGGAAACTCAATTCTTCAGGGCTCGACTGAACGACTTTATATAGTTATATCATAAAAAAAAAAATAGTTCATAGCAATTGAATAAAAAAATATTTTGTACCCTAAAGCTTTTCAGTGTGTTTGTAAAGAGAATTTATTGTTGTCAAATACATTTTGAGAGTGGGTTTAGGACGATTTCATTAATCGGGAAGGTTGCCGTGGTAACCGTTTCCTAACTCTTCGTTCATAGTGATATTGTTCTGTATATCACTACTCCCCTTAGAAAGTGTGAGAACGTGGTGTGTGTGTGGGGTGAGTGTGTGTTAGCTTAGTGATACTCATAAAACCTCACTCACTCTCGCTACCAATGAGAAGATTTCACAGAACTTGCAGCTCCCTCTGCGGCTATGCATGGGTTTGCCCTGTTTTAACAAGCATACTTGGCAAAGGCACTTTCTGACAAAGGTGTATACATACGTCGCAAACCGATTGGCTGGCGACAAAGAATGGTACTAATTATTATCTGACAAATAGTAACAGTATTATTTCTTTGATATATCTTTTCCAACGACCTTCTTTCATACCTCTCATTGCATGATATGACTCCACACAGATTTTGGAATTTACTTGATAACTTGCTAGGATTGGGTGAGTATCGTTGTACGTCGCTTTTAGCAATAGTCCAGCAGGGTGACGGGGTCACAAGAAATCGGCTTCAATCGTACTAATGTGATGGGGTATCGAAGAGAGAAAGATTAACCACCAGGCTTCCCCATCGCCCCTTGCATGATAGTATGACGGCCTCGCGTGAAGGGGACCCTCTACTTTGTTTTAACCCATACTGGAGAACATATCCAAATCAGAGCAGCTACTCAAATTTAGTCGCCTTTACTGTGTCGCTAGGGGTGAGGTGAGGTGAAATTGGGTTTTACGTCGTGCTTGAGAATATTTCGCTCATATGACGACGTGCATGCGTGTGTATGTGTATGTGCGGCTGCTTGTACTAGCCCAGACTTAAGCTGGTTTTATAGTGCTAGCCCATTGAGATACCATGCCGCAGTGAAGCATGAATACCCCACTCAGACACATTATACTGACTCCGAGCCGACCAGTCCCTGTTGTACCCATTAATGCCGAGCGCCAGGCAGGGACCAACAAGTACCATATTTTAACGTCTTTTGGTATGACGCGGTCGGGGGATCGCACCCGCGACCTTCCGCTTTCCGGGCGGACGCTCTAACCACTACACCACGGAGGCGGTCCTGTGTCGCTAGAACACTCCTTGGTATGTTTCTTGTTTAACGCCTCACTAGAAATATTCCAGCTATATGACGGAAACACATATGTCTAAACAATCAATCCAGACACTACATCCAGTGATTGACCTCATGAGCATCTGTCTACGCAGTTGGGATACTATGACAGGCATCAACTAAGTAGGCGAGCCTGACCAGCTGGCCGTGTTCTGATCAGTCATCACAGATCTTCATCATTAGATACTCTCCTGATATTTACAGATAAATATGTTTACAAACATATTCCGAACAGTTTGTTTCCGATAGAAGCACGGTTGACCGAACCTGTCTGGGCATCCTTTCACAAAGCATCCTTCGTGAAAGGAGCCCCTGGTCATCCCCCAAGAGCGAGTGAGGTTTAATTTCATGCAGTATTTCACAGCGTGTCAGCTCGGTGTTGAAGGGATGACTGAAGTGATGCAGGTGTCAGACACTAACCATTTTGGTGACAAACTAAGAAACATTACCACAGCAAACCTGATATTCATAACATCTAACATCGGTGTGTGGTGCATCTTCGGCACGCAGACCTACACACCTCAGACAACTGGGCAACCGATGTCAGCCCCTATCGAACACAGCATCATTTCGAGTTTAAATTGAGCATGTTGGTTTTAATACATTCACTGAACGTTCTCGGTTTCTTTGCACGCTAAAGGAGGCAACTCCGCATTGTGCTTGCGTAAAGTGTGAACAAAGTACCTTAACACTTTTATCATCGACCGTCTTGTATTAATAGGACAATACCCTATCATTTATATTCAAGTATTAAAGCTGGTAAATTATGTGAATTTTATAACCGCATAGGGACAATAAATGGGCAATGAAGGCTTCATCACCTGACATCTGTTGTCCCCTTACGGGATGGATTTAATTTAGCACTGGGCATTTTATCAAAAGCAGCTAAATTTTGAATTAAGCCCTGAACTTCAATAGTCATTTTTAAAAACGTTGTCACGATTTTGAACAGTCTGAATATCGTTTGTGACAATGTTTGTTGTCGAAGAAAATCATTTTCAAACCGCTCGTCACTCAACAATATGCTGTTTCCAACAATGCAAGGAAACAAAATAATTTATTCAGATGAAACTGCCAATTCTCTTTTTCAAAACAGCAGTCTTTAGACACTAAAACATGATAGCTTAGGTCATTCTTTTCGTCAGTAGCTATACAGCAAAAATAATTCATAAAAGCGTTGATCAATACAACACCCGTATTTCTTCCCTACACTTCAATTATAAACATCATTTTAGAAATATAGGCAACAGAATTAGGAACTTCTTGCGAGAAAGGGTTGTGCCAGGAGAAGACCACACTCCGGCGCAGTGATGACTTAGCATAACAGAGGTACTATGCTGGCTTGCCGCATGGAACTCTGGGTAGGAGAGTGTGAGAAGACAGCACCAGATATGGCTGAATGAGTGAATGAGTTTGGTTTTACGCTGCTTTTAGCAATATTTAAGCAATATTACGGCGGGTGACAACAGAAATGGGGTTCAAACGTTGCACACATGTGGGGAATCGAAACCGGTTCTTCGGCGTAACGAGCAAACGCTTTAACCACTGGGCTACCCCACTTGACCCAGCAGTGTATCACAGTCGGTTTGAATATTCCACGTGTATTGTTCTCGGCACTGACTGTTCATGTTGTCAGTGATCTGCCCGTCGTCACACAGTTGCACCACAAGCTGTCCACCCAAACACGATCCAAAATGGGTACAGTTAATCATGGAGTCCACTTACTGCACCAAGGATTTGCTGGAATGAAGTAAACAATATTTTTGCTTTTCAGATTGCATTTACATATCAATACCCAGTGTATGAAATAAGCCTAAAACCCAGCTAGACATCAGGGCTGGTAACTTCAAAATGTTACCAGCCCAAAATGGATTTAACCAGCCCACACACCAAGATATGGTGAATTTACTCAGATGTATGGAATATCTAAAACAATTACCAGACCATCGGGCTGGCTAGCTGTAAATTTAGATCGCCCGTCAGAAATCTAGCCCGTCTTGGGCGGTCGGGTACATGCAGGAAGCAAATGTACTGCTTGTAAGTCCCCATGGTCCCTAGTATGGTGATCTACCTTCAGTTGTTGGCAGGCTATAGACTGTTTTGCCATTGTGTTGTCATTTCTAGTTAATATGTGTTAGATTTCATTACTGGTTTTAAATGGATATCTGTGATACACTAGTAGTTTGACTGTTCTTCGTCAACAGGTTATAATTTCAAATTTTATTGATATATGATATAATCATCAATTGTTCTCGTCACGATATGGCTGAAATATTGCCGATGTGACGATAAATATTAACTCACTCGGCCGGTCGGACGGGCCTTATTTCATACACTGCAATACCACATCATGAGAATAAGGGAGTTTAACTATGCTTTGAACAGTAGGGGAGACCGGGGTCAATTGTAACACTTTTTACTTAACTTCTTGTAATTTGATACTAGTCGACCGCTCACAAAGTTAAGCGGTACTATCTAGTACATTGGCATCTTGGCTTTAAACCTCAGTGTCATTTAGAATTCTTAATTTCGTTACAAAGTTATTACGTATCAAATGCAATTACTGCAAGTGTTACAATTGACCCCTAGCACGGGGCAATTGTAACCGGTGTATGGGGCAATTGTAACAAAGAAGGTTCAAATGTAACAATCTGCTTATTTTCCAAATAAAATCAAAATAAAATGTGGAAAGATGTTATCTTGATTAATTGAGGTGAAAATGAATTAACATTAAACCTTTGTAACCACCGACATTTTACATGTTTTTGGTTTAAAATTCTTGATTTTGTATGCCCAAAATATGATAGAAAGACTAACACCAAAAACTTTCACCCAAGGGCTGATACTATCAACATAAGACTGAAAATGTCCTACTATGATGAAACTAGTAAAGATCTAAAATAAAACCAACATCATAATTTGCTTCATCATCATAACACAAGGGAAAATTAAATGGGGGCAGTTGTCACACAGAGTTACAATTGCCCCCGATGATAGTAGCCATGTTTCATGCCACATCACATGTTAACAACTTTGGGCTTCTCAAATATTTCTACTTCAAAATATGTCGTAATACCTCAATTTTACGCTTCAACAGTTAATTTCATTCCAAGCAACATTTACAGCATCAAGAACGTTTTATTACCTTTTGTGAAAAAAATACTTTCCTATGTGAAAAACGATTTTTCGTCAACTGTATCTCTCCATGAGCGAGCAGCTGAAAAACGCCTGTATGTGTACCGCAGGAGAGCAAAGGGAAATAACTCTACTCACCTACACTATGCTTGAGCGAAAACTGTTAGAGTAATCGCCCTTGTTACAATTGCCCCGGTCTCCCATATCCCAGTTATTAGGGGTAAAGACTGGTGTGATACGAGGCTTAAACGTTAACCTCTTTGGTGAAGCCATAGGTCGGGTATGGTGCTGACAAACCTAAACGGGATTCGAACATGCAGTCATAGGTTTCTAGCCAATTGCGGCGCCTTAGACTGCTGTGCCACACGTGAAATCTGACATAAAGTCACAAATGTACAGAAGAATGTGTTCCTCCCATTTCAAGCAACAAGCAAACACCTTTTTCCCCACCGGACAACATCCAAGTACTATCGTGGCCTCAAGGTCTCCAGGTCTGAACCCTATCGAACATTATACGATGCTCTTGATCAACGTTCCATGGGTCCACGATGCCAGGCAGTTCTTAACTATCCGGTCCATACAGGTTATATCGGACAGATGATCTTCACCTTGACATTCAATTGTTTCATGTTTGCCTTGAATCTCGGACAGTGACTTGTGACAAATTTGAACAATTTTT